CAACCATCTGTGAATCAGGGTTCTTAATGACGTGAAGAGCCTCCCGGATATACAAGGGGGTCATTACCCTATCCAGATACAAGGTGACAGAGATACACGAGGAGGGGAATGGGGCAAGAGTGCGGCTCCTCCTTGCATTTGAGTCTCTTGCATGAAAACCAGCAGGTTGGTCCTCCCAGGCACAGGGCTTTACATGCTCATCTCTTAGAAGTCTGGGGAGGGATTCCTGCATCCTCCACTATGTTAGTGCTGGATTAGGGTTGCCACTTACCTTGCTTTGCCACCTCCCTGGCAAGCTCCTCCTCTTCAGCTATATAGCAAGCAGGTATAGCATGCTCTTCTCCATCCTGGGTTTCGTTGCACTTATTGCATTTGGCTGATGCAGAATTTTGTTTCAATTTGGCTTTGATGAAAATCTAGCAAAATTCACAAATGGCTTCATGTTTGGGAAGGAAATAATTTGAAATTTAAACATGTGGGATGTAGAGAAAGTGAAACCAACATATCCATCCGTCCCTAAGAATTGTGTTGTTGTCGGTGGCATATTTCTGACCTACTGAGATGCAACTGTAGAAATGATAGGCTTGGACAATAACTCTGGATGCACTTAGACAAGTATTTTGGAGAGGAAGAGGCTGTGCAGTGTGGCCTCTGCACTGATTCAGTTAATTCACCAGAGATCATTTCCCAGGAGCTCCGTGACATGTTTTGTACACAGCTTGTGCTGATTTTGTGGAGGTCTGTGCAGCAGCCTGGAGGAACTGCAGCGTGAAGGTGCTGTACTCTGGAAGAAGGACCTGTCCAATGTGGCACCTGGAGCAAAATTCTCCTAATAAATATTGCAAGAACTCCTTTCAGCTGGGTGCACATTTCCAAGGCTTCATTGGAATTTTGCCTGCTTTCCCTAAACATTGCTAGAGCAGTGTTTGAAGTTCCTTTATGAAAATGCATGGGGAGAGCCCCATTACCTCCTTAGAAAGAAATAAAAAACCATTCCTACTGTTCTGCTACAAAACAAAATGCACCGCAGGACTCATAACTATGCAGGGGGAGGGAACTAGTGCATGCCCAGCAGCCAGTTAAACCAGACATGACTTGTTTTCAAGTGAGCATAGTTTTGTAGCCCACAGCAGTCAAAGAGGGTGATGGGCACCCCAAGTAGTGCCATTCTTAAGGCAGTTAATAAAGAATAACTTCAGAACAATAGTATTGGGGAGGCCGTAGTTGAGTGGCAGAGCCCATGATTGCATGCAGAATGACCCAGGTTTGAACCTTGTTGTCTCCAGGCTGAAAAGCATCAGGCAGCAGCTGATGGGACCCACTTTTCTCCACCCGAGACCGTGGTTGCTCTGCTGGAAGCAGCCCTCCAAGGTCTAACATAATCCTCACCTAGACAGACAAACTGCATTACCTACTAGAAGGAAACTTCCTGTGTATGTGGACTAATGGTCTGACTTAGTGAGAGGCTGCTCCATGAGTTCCTATATTATTTGGAAGGCTTAAGCTGCCATAGTCTAAAAGCAATAGTAGATTGTCAGGAAAAGCACAAAGAAAATTTCAAGACAATTGTATTCACAGTGAAACCAAAACATGCTCCCCCCCTCAGAGAAGATCACGTCTCCTAAAGCCCAGCCATGCGTTGGGTACTAAGTGTGCCTTCCACAAACAGGAGAGTCCCTCCCATTTGGAGAAAGGCTGCTGGAGTCTGTTGGCTGAAGAGGAGAAAGTAGTATTTTCTGATTTTCCATGAAGTCCCCAACACATTGCCTCTTTGTTCTAGGAGTGAATGTTTTCCAACCATTTGGGGCAAATGAGGGGCACAGGGACTTGCAAAAGGAAGTAAAATGGCAGAATTAGCTTCCCCTTCCACTGGTGCTCACAGAATGTAAGGCTCTGTCCAGTGTCTTACGTTTCTAACCCTTCCTTCCTTGGAGACGGATGTGGTGGGGTACTGGTGCTAATGTACTTTCTGTGTCGTCCCGCTTGGTTCCACCTTGCTTTTCTTCTTTTCCAAAGTTTTTTTCCCATTTGGATGGGTTTTCCTACAAAGTCTGACAGTTGGTTAAGTTGTGAGTAGCTTGCAAATCCCCATCAGAATTCCTGCAGATCCTGAGAAATCTTTATAGAGGTTTTTCCTCACATTCTACAGTTTTGAAATTCTCCTGGCATCTCTGACTGCTCCAGATTTACTTTCTGCACTTTCACAACAGAGCCATTCTGGGAGCATGCAGACATTCCTTGTGCATCCTAGAGAAGGTTACTCCTACCAACCATCAGTATATTTCATGGTCAGTTTTCTGCCATCTAAGGATATAAGGGAAAGCTAGGTCTGGTTTTAAAGAGTTTTGTTGACTCTATTGTATTGGTAATAGTTATATCTTCTCCCTAATCACATGCCTTTAACTCCCCTCTCATACTGTACCTTGTACAAAATTGAGTCTATTCATGGTTAAATACTTGGGTAATAGAGTCTGCTATTTAGTGGAAGATTTATGCAAATGGATTTTTTGTTTCACACGAATGGGTCTTATAGACTGTAAGTTTCATTGATAATGTAATTACACTATTACTTGCCATTTGAAGGCAGCAAGCTGCAAGGAAGCATCCAATTTAACTGCCATATAGGAATGTTTAAACTCTTATAGTTCACTTAATAAAACTTTCCTGTAATAAATATAGAAATGCATATATTACTATTTCATTCTGGAGCTTTGCTGTGGGGGGGGCATCGATTATTACTTATATATTTGGATTTTATCATCATTGTACAACTCATTTACTGGCACTATCTTAGATTTAATTTCTTCATCCATTGTTCTTTTTTGTTGTTCCTGATTGCTTTTTGATGTGCTGATGTGAATTTGCATTAGAGTCTGTGCTGAGACATTGGTGCACTAATTTGGAGTAGTGAGGTATCACTTGATTTATGATTTAGAAAGCATTCATGTGAACAGGCACAATCTCAAAATAATGTTTGAGTTCACAAAAGGATTGACATGAGGAAGAATACTGCAAGGAAGGAATCAAATTGAGAGGGAATTAGAGGCACCCTAAAGAACTCTGCTATGTGCAGAATGCTTTGTCCACTGTGCACTGATCCTCCATTTTATGCCCTGCTGTTCACCATTTTCTCTTCCTGGGCCCTCAACAACACTTAGACCAGGAGCCAAACCCTGTATCAGCAGAAATTGAATAACCTCTTGTCAATTTCCAGGAAAAGTGCATTCCCATCTTCATTAATTGTCATTTGCATATGTTAAGTTTTACAAATAAGTAGCACCACAGAAACCAAGCCTGTTACTGTTCCTATTGCCTCCTGAGAAAAAAGCCATATACCGTTTGAAGTATCTCAAGCCACATGTTCATATGTTTCTTTATAGCAAGGTAAAATGCAAGTTGGGTGTGTGTTAAATGGACATGTAAATGTTCAAAATCCCCTCCCAAACTTCACTATTGCTCATGGGTATTTGTCAACCCAACTAGGAATATAATATAATTACAAGAAAATGTGATTCAGCCTCTGAATTTGGAAGATTATGGGCATCTCGAGCATATCAGAAGGACTGTGGAAGCAAATCCCACCTCCATGCTCCTCCCATCATGCAGTGTTTGACTCTGGAGCAGGTGGGAAGGCAAGTGACACACCAGGATACTTTGCTGGTGGAGTCCATCTCCTCCATTCCTCCCTCCCTGCCATCAATCATCTTTCTTTTCTGGGTGGGCTGCAAGGATAGGGGAGGCACTCCGACCTCAAAGCACGTTTCCTCTGCCCACGGTTAGATTTGGAGGCACCAGGTAACCATGTTTTCCTATGACATGAAGGTACTGCTATGAGCCTCAGTCGTATACTCTTCCTGCTTTTGTTTGCCAAAAGAGGATATTGGAAGGTTCCGCTTTTAAAGAAATCACAGTTCTTCATAATGTCTGTATTCAGGGAACTGTGGTGTGTTTTTAAACTATCCTTAGTGAGAACAAGCCATGATCAATCTATGGTTTTAGATCCTGGCTTCTTCTGAAAACAGAGCTTAAAATGTACCACAGTTCCCAAACTGCAGTCATCATAGGAATCTGATTTGTTTCAAATCTGAACAGGATGTTTTTGATCTTATTTTGGCATGCAGAGGAAGAAGACAGAGCCAATCAATGTGCATTGATAGATTCTGCTTCCATGAAGGAAGTGCATCCGTGCACTCTGTAAAACAGATACACTTCCCGTTTCAAATAGGAAGAAATGTTTAGGGAGTGGCAGAGAATTACCTATCAAATTGTACCTTTAGGTGGAAAGAGGTAGGTTCTCAATTTCAGTATTCAAATTCCAATTCCAGGTGTTCTTTTACAAAAACAGATGATTGTCTATGCAAAACAGGTAATGATCTTATGATAAACTTAGGGCAGTTGAAATGGGAGATTCTGAAAAAGTATGCATTTCAAAGTCTCCCATGTAACTGCTGGGATATACTCACACAATTGCTTTTCTGACATTACAAATAATATTTGAAGTATTCAAATAAGCCAAAATGTAATTTCATTTTCCTATTGTTGCCCACAGATCTGACATAATTGTAATCATTTGAAGTTTTGATATGAGTAGGGCAAAATTTGGAGGGTATAACAATGATCAGAAATTCCTACTTCATTCAGTTTCTGTTTTGATGATATCTTGTGCACTAGATCAGAATTTAAAAATCTATTCTTAATAGGCATTGAATTATGATATTGCAGAGGTTTAACTAATCACAAACTCATTTTTAAAAATATTTTTCAATTCAGCTAATTGGTAAGTTTCTTAAACAGCCAAGAAATCCATTGATACAAATCTGTCATCCCCTTTCCCCACCTTGGTCTTTTGAGAAATATCATACAAATGCTTCCTGATTTCATAACAGAGTCTTCAGTTTAGCAGGCAGCAATCCCATAGGATTGTGCCCTAAGTAAATGTTTAGAATTTTCATCCTCCTGCATAATAATCTGAGATACAAACTCTTTGCATTATCCTCTAGTATCCGTGTGCCTTGGAGAAAAATGTTCTAGCTGTAAAAACAGTAGAAGAGAAAACAGGTAAGCTGGACATTTCTCTGCTTGCTTACAACCTCAACTAAGTTTTCACTTTTTTTACCTGTGCTTTTGCAACCATATTCAGCATTGTTTTGCTAACATTCCTGTTCTGCACTTTGACATGTAGGATGCAAATGCACACAGCCTGATGGCCAGTGGATCCAGTTTCGCTTTTGACTTCAGCTAGTCTCAAAAATAAATGCTGGCAAAGCAGTTGCTTCAGGGCCTTGCAAGCACCCCTAAACTAGCCTGCTTCCTTCAGGTGTGGTGGGAGAAGCTGCCCTCCTGCCTGTATTGAACAAATTCAGCTCTTACTCTGGCTTCTGTGCTTGGCATGCAGAGGAAACCATCTTGCCTTCACCTGAGGCAGCTGAATGTCTTAGCCCAGCCTTGTTTAAAAAAAGCCTACAAGTTTATGCCACTTAGAAGGCCTGAAACAAAGGCTATGGAATAAGGAAGTTGGGTAAAGCTCTTCCACGGCTCTTGCCCCACAATCTTTTGGTCTTCATTGGCTGCTTGCCTACCTCGAGCACAGGTTTAATGCCAGCTGCCCTGGGCCCTGTAGTGCCTCTCCCTTCTTTACCCCAGAGGTGTCCAATCTCTTTCAGCCTAAGTTCAGTTGCAGAGAAGTTCTTGGAGTTACATTCCAGAGTAGAAAAAATGGAATGGGTAGTGTGTCCCTCCAATACAAATATCTGTCAAGGACTCTGTACAAGGTGACCACAGCTGTGAGGAACTGGATCTGAAGTGGGCAGGGTCCCACCATTACTACCTCCTCTCTCTTTTAAGTCATATGATCTTTTGAGAGGCCCAGGAGTGGGAGAACCAAGTTATAGTTTTGACTGTTCAGGTTTTGCACGTTCTGTTATATATTATTACATACAACTGTTTTGTCCATTCTTTTCTCTTGGGAAATACCCATTTATGAGCCCTTGTAAATATGTCACATTGAGAAAGCCAAAAGCACTGCCCGTGTGGTTATTTACAATCTAGTGCCACATGCTGCCTCCTAGAAAAAATAACTTTGCATGAACAAGGTTTGTCTCTTCTTAAGGGCCCCTTTTCCAGTGGGGTATTTGCCCATTCAGAACATCAGTACATATCATCCTAAGGCTTCTGAACTTGACTGGAATCCTTACATATTAAAATGCAAGGTGAGTTTGGAAGCCAGTCTTTATTATTGTAGATCAATAACTACAATTTGTTAAGGGTTTTGGTGTGTGCACACATGTGTGCATGTGTGTTTAAAGAGAGCTTTGTTCTTGTCACCAGCCCAACTTGGAACAAAAATAAATTTTAATTGTCCAAGAAAATTGCTTTAGGCTTCAAACATTGACGATGGTGGGCAAGAGAGGTATTTTATGCTCTTAGGGTTTACCTCAGTTTGTAGCTAGCAACTTGCGTGCTTTAGAAATTAACACCCCAACTGCTATCTGCTCAGTCTTGCAGTGGTTTCACTGTAGCCCCAACCAGCTCCATACAGGCTTAATCTGGCATTGTGTGTTCTGCTTTGTTACCTCCAGCGTAGATTCCAATAAAATATTTGATCCAAATGATCTGTTCCCAAGCTGGTAGGGATTTTGGTATGTTGAAGTGGGCAATGATACCACCCTTTTTGAACTAAGCATCCTTTATGCATTTTATCATAGTCCATCTGCCAAATAGGCTGGAATCCTTTGGCTACTAAAATGGAGAGGAAAAGTAAATCTTCTACCACAAGTAGGCATCTAGTGCCTGCACTGTAATTGTTTGACCTCATTCTGTTACTGTGAAAACTTGCTTTATTCTTCTTGCTCAGATTTGTCCACAGGAGTCATATACCGGAGAAGGATTGCAACATGCCAGAATGTAATTCCACAGATTTTAAGGCAGGTAATTAATTTCAGACAATGCTGGAACTTGCTGGATTTTAAGCATATAGGGAACCTCCCAGGTGTGTGCTTGCATGGGAAATTCATTTGCTAGGCTTGTGAATTAGGAAGGCTTCACTATCCTTTGTGCTCAAAGTGACTGAATCGTGGGACTACATTTCATTAGGTCAGTAGCTAAAATGGTAATTTTCTCAAACAAGCCTGAACCCCAACATGAAAGGCTGAAAACAGCTTTAAAATGTTAATGTGAACACCTGAAAACGTAAGAACATCCTTAGGAATTTTGTTCTAGGATCAGAACAAGATGGTAACTTCTTCCCTTTTACTTCTTGTGTGCTGAAGTTCAGATCAACATTTTGGATTTATGTTCTGTTATGGATCATGTTCCATTTTGTGAGCTGATGACTTCAAATCTTGATCCTGTATCTTGAAACTTAATATATTTAATTTCTTTGTATCACATTTCTGTTTGCCTTTTTCATGCCTCATCCAGATGGGAAAACATAATATTTCCAGGTACCAAACAGAATGTGAAATGAACTAAATGTTTTGGCTGATTCTGTCTTGTATGTAACTCTCTGCAAATGATTTCTGTTAAAATCCATTCCTTGAAGCAGGATGTATAAGCACCTAAAATGACATACAAGTCAAGTTGATGCTTTATTTGAAATGTTGTAGTTAGCAAACTCTAACAGCATTGTGCAATAAGAATAGGTCTTCACATGTTTGCATGATTTTATCACTAACTACTAAAGTTAATTTGTGCATTAATCTTAAGGGATTCCTATTATTGGTGGGTTTTATAAGTAGTTATAACTATTAATCATTTATTATATGAGGATGGAACCACATGTTTAATGTAAGTAAATTATTCTTTCTTTCATCAAGTATGTTGACATTATTGAAACATTTAATCATATCTAACAGATCAGTGTCCTAAAAGTATCTGAAGTCTACTTAGAAGAGGAATCTTGGCTTAATACGCAGGAAAGAATTATGTCAATGAAGACTCGGTGTCTCACATGGACAGAGTATGCCACTCTTAAAGAAGAATCAGTCTTCAGAGAAAGCTTGGAGAATCCAAACTGGTAAGTTACAGATGCTTTATGTGGTACATCAGGAATGAGGAACCCCAGGCCTGGGGGTAAATCTGGCCTTCCTGGGATCTCGGTCTGGCCCTTTGGTGATCCCCAAATGGCTTGGCCCATCTCCCCCAACAACCAGCTGCTTGGTGGTTTCTTGAACTTTGTACAACTTTTTCCCCATTCTAAGAGGTTGAAAAGACTTATCCTAACGTTTAGTTATTGGCAGTAAGAGTTTGAACTACAACACATTAGCATTAAAAGATGGACCTGTCTCTTTCACTCCCCATTGAACACTGGAATGCTGTCCGTGCGAGCTGCTCCAAAACTGAATTCTGTCCTCAACCTGAAAGAAGATCCCCTCTATGCTGTTCATTAAAAAAAAAATAAAATCACATATTGTCTTTTTTACTCCAGGACAATCTGATGCCTTTGTCCCTCGGAGAAAAGGGGCAGCCATTATGCAGCCAGTAGCTCACAAGGCATAATTTTCTTGCAGATCACTAAGTGAGGCCTGCACTTAGTGATGACGTTGTGACCATAAGGACAAGCATAGCCTGCCTGCTGTTGGTGAATGCCTGTGGAACATGCCTCACACTTCAGGAACAGGTTGCATGTGCTTTTTGGGCACCCAAACACTTTCCCTCTTTTGTGCTGCTTCCTTGCACAAGGCTTGCCTACAGCTGCTCTGCTGTGTCAGAAATGGGTGGGTCAGAACTTCTGCAGGCAAGCCTTGTGTAAGGAAGCAGCACAAAAGAGGGAAAGTGTTTTTTAAACCAGAGATGGGCAGTGCACGGCCCTCGAACTGTTGCTGAATGTCAGCTCCCACCCGCCCTGGCCAGCGGAGTCAGTGATGAAAGATTACAGGAGCTGAAGGCCAACAACCACTGGAGGGCTGCAGATTCCGCATCCCTATTTTAAACATATTTGCTGCCTGATTTCTCTAAAGCCACATTTTCACTTTTTGCTACAATAATGTAATAGGAAATAGAGGAAATATTTGCAAGCTGGTTGTGCTCTAAAAAAATAATGTTTGAAATTCTGCAGACAGGGATATTCACAATCCAATCTCCAGCATACTCCTATGTATCATTTCACAATATTTTCACTCTTATGCATAGCTTATAACTTATTCTGATTTGTTAAGTCATAGATAAGAGCAAATAGATTCTGTGGGCCATTGAATGCCCTAACGCATTGGAAATCTGCCTCTTCAACTTCTTTCAAGTGTTGGCTTGTTTAGTCTTTTCCTCATTGTCTCTGTCTTTTTGTGACTATTGATCCTTTTCTGATAAAATTGTCCAATAAAATTGAGTGACTGATAGGAATTTCTTGAACTCCATTCTTCTTAAACACAAGTTCAGAAATTTGGTGGCTTTCTTAAAATGAAATAGGAGGTTCTCAGGAAGCTGCATCCAATTACACATTTCTTGACTTTTCTGTGCTACCCTTAAATCGAAGTAAAAAGTACAGCCCAAGACTTGGGAGGCCTGGGAAATCCACATCAGTGCTGAAGGCATGCATCTGTCTATTTATTTATTTATTTAGTTCATTTTGATACTTCCCAGTAGCCAGAATTTTCTCTGGGCAGTTCACAAAGTTAAATGTCTCTTGCCTGTTGTAAGAATCTTTTGCTTTCACTGTATTTTTTAAAATTATTAAATCTGCAGATGGCATTTATATTTTAAAACTACTCAATAGAAAGATGCGGGGCAGATTGTAATGGGCAAAAAAGATGCCCAGCTGCCTTGTGCACAAGGACTAGGACAGGTGTCACTTTCACAGGCAGGGAAGCTCCATAACACTTTAGCTGGTTTATTAAGCAAAAATATGCAGTTGTAATCTGTAATGCTCTTTTCTTAAGCCATAATACTTTCAAAATCAAATACATTCAAACTTTGCTGGCTGAATGATTTTAGGCCAACTCATATGGTAGATTTATTTATTGCCTTTGTTCTGCTGAAAAGCAACAAATGTAATGAACACTTGATAAGATAAGAATAGGAACAGCACCCGGCAATAATTGCAATGCAAGAGAAGAGAAATGTCGCCTATAAAATGATCTTGAATGAAATGCTCGACTGTAACATCTGACTCACTGCAATAATGCTTCTTTAGAAAGCCTTGAGAAGGAATAATGAAACTAAACAATAATCTTCCCCAAGTTAATAAACTGTTAATATTGTGAAAGATTATAGGAATTGGCAGTGCAAAGACATGTGGATTTTTTATAGCTCTTCTTATGCTCACTCAGTTTTATACCAGGAATCTATTCAATAGCTTGTGGGAATCTAAAGCAAATACTTGTCACTTTTGCTCACTTAGCTTCATATATCAAGCACTAGGACAGCCTTCATTCAGGCATCGCTTCACTGGAGTGGGAGCTGTTTTCCCATGGTGTGATTCCATTCTATTGAGGGATGAGCATGTAGATCTTGTAAGCATTCATCCTCTGGAATTTCTAAGAGTAATTACATAAACATCAGGATCTAATTGGTTAAGAGGACAGGTGGAATAGGCGATAAAGCATAGCGGGTTTAGCTTAGATGTTAACTTAATGCTGGTATACACTGGGGGGAAATACCCCTGGCATAAAGTAAAATCTGGGCTGGGATATGTGGACTATGCTTTGCTCTCTCAGTGTGGTTAGAGTGTAGGACTGGGGCCCAGGAATTTTGGATATAGTTCCTACTGAAGCCATGAAATTTACTAGGGGACTTTGCGCCAGTTGGTGACATTGAGCCTGACCTAACATTCCTTGGTTTTCTTGCAAGAGGAAAAAAGGCAAGGCATAAACGTAATAAATAAAAAAGCCCTTGGAGACTGGGAGAAACATGGTATGTCCCTTTGATTCACAATTACATGCAGTATTTTCTGATTTGGGTCTTATGATGCATTTCTCCTAGCTGGTTTTCTTTTAAAGTTTCCTTCGTGTTGATAAATCACCTAAGGCAATACAGAATTGACCCACTGTCTCTGGTAGGCATATGAATAATCTTTGGTTGTTGTATATCCAGGAGAGACACTAAGAGATTCAGTGAACCACTAAGTTGCCTTGCAGGTTTATTGCAAATAAACACATCACTGTCAGGTTTACCCCTCTAATTTCTGGAAAGGTACTTCTGCCCACGTGGAATGGTCTGGCTGTTTTTCTTACGATATGTGATGTTGGCAATATAAGTATTCAGTGAAAACATCAAAAGAGTTACTGCTTTGTGTACTTCAAGTTATATTAGCATGTGGCCAGCTGTGCTGAAGAGGAAACCTCGTTAGTGTTATTGCGGATTATTAAAGACTTGGGTGCATTTTCCCCCTCCCTTTCTGCATCGTCTCCAGCATCTGATATATTTCATTGTAGGTGGAAAAGGGCAGCTAACTTTCTGTTAATTTGTTCCAAGATGATGTTCCTAAGGAACACAAATGATAGACAAACAAATGTACATATTCTGAGGGTGTTAATAACAGATGGGATCTGCAGCAGAATGTTGCACTGTATCCTGTTCAGCGTCCCAGCCAGCCATTTTCTCTAAACAGGCCATTCCATTTTGCCCTCACCAGTTTTCTCTATTTCTTTTCCAATTGACACAAAGCATTTTCTGACTATTGAGCATGCCTAGTCCTCACTGGGCTGTTCTTTAGATGTAGTTTTGCTCTCTTATATTGTTTTAAAAGGCTTTATAGATTAGATTGCCTGCTACAGATGCTCAGAGTTAGTAGACTGGGGGAGAAACCTCTTGGCTGGAGAACTGACGTGAAGCATACTTTCTTGGCATGCTGGAGGTTGCTTGGAAGGGCTTCCATTTTGCTCATGTTGATTCAAGGAATCTCTGCACTTGCATTAGCTTGCTTCCAACACCAAGAAAAGCCAAAAATGGTAAGAAAGATATACTAAGCAAGAAGGATCAATAAACAGCAAAACTAGGAGCAGTAGCCTTGTGAATAAGTTCACAACAATGCCACAGAAAGACATTGTTAACTTTATATGTGAACTGAAAAACAAGTTTGTTTATTTTGGAAAACAAAAACTCTTATTTGAGGCAGCCTTGGCACTGGGAGATCCCTTGGTGAGGCCTTGCTTGATTGGTCACCATTCATTTGGAAGAGTGGCAATTGACAATTCCTGTGAAAATGTTTGCAGTGCATATTTACCAAATATCTAAGGTTCTTTTGTTTGTCTTATATCAATCAATGGCTTGAACATTTGTGATTTATTTATTTACTCAGTGACGTATATAGTGTGGCTTATATGTTTGGGGGATTTCTTTTCCTTTTTGCAGGGTGCGTTTTGCCTCCTTGTTAGTCTTCTTGCCTACCCTGCTTTTTAAAGTATGCTGGCATCACTTTTGACAGAGTATCTGAAAAGCACCCCCTGAATTTATAGCAGCAGCTTTTGTTCCCTTTGAACTTATTTATTTATTTAGAAAATTTCTATGCCACCCATGCGCCGAAGCCTTGGGGCGGCTCACAAAACATTAAAATATAATACATTAAAAATATAAAACGAATTAACAATATAAAATAAAATAAGTCGCCCTGGCCAAAGAATTATACCTTGCTGAAGCTTTGTTCTGTGCCATTAACTGAACTTTTCCCCTAATCTGCATCTTCGGCAAATGGGGCCGCATAGAAGTTCCCTAAATAAATAAATAAAAATAAATAAGGTAACATATCTTTCTCAATAGTCATAAAAAATCTAGAAGGCAGACAGTCCAAGTTGGTGTTCTTTCTGCTGCCACAAGCTCACCATATCCCTGGGAATGAAAGTAGAAACATATCTATAGGAACTTCAGACAAATTGGCCTTTGATCCTTGTTCTGGGGAAAAAGAGTTTCTAGACATCTTAGCCCAAGCCTCAGGGGAAGGTTTGGCTTGAAAAGCCCAAATTGAGTGTTGTTGTAGAGTGAATGCTTTCTAAGGTCTGCAGATTTCTGTTAGGCTGGGAGAACAATAGGGAACTGTTTTTTAATGAGAATTAAACTTTGGTTAATTGTAACTGAAGTTATGTC